AATTACTAGCAATGGTTGCATGACTTGACCAAGGTCCATATTCAGTTGGTTGTCCTCTTCTGCTTAATAAAATAAAGGATGGAAAGCATCCAAACAGGAAGGAAGGAAAACAGGAAAAGAGGAAAAGGAAAGTTATGAATCCAAGCATTCTTATTTCCAGGCCCAACAGAGGAAAAGCCTAGTATTGGCTCATTATAAAGATCAATGCTATGTCAAAGGGTTTCTTATTGTCTAACTTTTAATTTATCAAGATACATCTCAAAAAAGTCAGATTCTTTGCCTTATAAACCCTTCCAGAGCTTCACCTCACTGCTAGACTGAGAGGTTCATATTGCCTAGGAGGGAAGAAAACCTCTCAAGCAGTGGAATGAATCAAATCCATATGAACTAATGTAAAGGAGGTGAGAAAGAAGGTGATGTCTTCAATTCTGTCCTTTGTGGAAGGTGTGATGGCATGTGCTTCCTCAAGACATTTGGCTGTGAGATCTGTCCTAATTGGTAAAAGGAACAGATTTGTGGATGTGTATCTTTAATTAAAAGTTTAATTCCCTGTGGCTCCCCTTTTTGAGGGCCATAGCTGCTTATTTTCCAGAGGCAGTTCATCAGCAGAGCAGAGCCAAGAAGCAGAAGCAACTTGTGATGCCTGTGGTGGAAGTACTGAGAAGGGCACCTGGAGCATTAAATGTAGCAGCATCAAAACTGGAGGTAAACACAGATGAGTTTGCCTTAATGCCAGCTTGAGTAAACCTCCAGGTGGGCAGCAGCTAGCATCTGTGTCTAGCAAGCAAATCTGCTGCACTGTGCCGTGTGCTGTGCTGTGCTCACAGTTTAACTGAGGCACAACTGCATAATTCTTGCTGGCTGAGGAGCAGGTGTCAAGAAAAACTGGTCTGGGGTGGCTGTGTCTGCTTCAAGTCTCCAGGAACAGGCAGAGGAGATCACAAAGGAGGTGGGGATGCAGGCCTGGGGAGTCAGGTGGTTGTTATAATAGTCATATTGTTAGGGCTGGAATGAGGAAATTAAAGATTTCAGCTGAACAGGAGAACGGGGGGGGGGGGGAAATCTCATGGAATCTCTATCCTGATCTCCCACCCATTGATTGCCCCTCAGAACAGAGATCTTCCTGGTTTTGATCTCTCAGATGGGCATTAGCCTTAGCTATGCTGGTGAGAGGCAATTTTCACATGGCCATTCCCACAGTCAACCCTCTTGCAATTGGATGAGATCAGTGTATTGAGCTGTCAACCTGGCTGAGCCTACGTGTGACCCCAGATTTAGGAAATACACCGCAGAGAGATAGTTGGAAATTCTATCTTCAGTGCCCAGTGATTTTCACTGCAGAAAAGGCAGCAAGCAGCTGACTTGAGCTTATACAAAGCATCACGGCTGAGGTACCACAGGGTCTGGGTGATTCAGCTGCTTCAGCACGCAAATGGATGCTGTGCTTGCAGCAGGCAGCATCCCTTGTTCTGCAGCAAAGACAACAGATGGAAGAGCAAAGGTTTTCAGCAGCCAGCTCAGATATGTCAGCTAGGGCAGGATGTGAGCATATATGCACTCTCTCCAGACTTCCTACCACACTGCAACATGTGGGCAGCAAAGAAAGAGGAACCACACATCTCTTATGGGGTTCACTCATGCTAACCTCATCCTCCGAAGAAGAGAAATTCATTTTCTTCCATACACAAGATGTTCTCAGACCTATGACATTATTTTCATGATTTCTACCCTATCATCTCCCATCTTTCATTCTGAGAGAATTGTCTAACAGACTCACCTATATACATATACAAAAAAAAAAAAACAAAACAAAACTAAAATGACCTAAAGGTTTTCAAGTGGTTCAAAAATTTGTTACACTTGCAACCCAAAACAATTCATAGAGATCAAGCTGAAGAGAGAGCTTTCCTTTTCCTACCACCACAGTAGCAGCATGTTGCATAACACGAAGTTTGTACTATTTTAAAATGCTGTGTGCATTACAGATCATTATCACATTCCTACCTGGGCTGATAGGAGACGTACCTGATAAGGAAACATTTCAAATTTGATGCCATAAAAATGATTCACATTTACTCAGAGGTTGCTCAGTAGCAATAAAAAGCGATCATGCATTCAACTGGCAAGGATGCAATATTCAGGAGCACTACCCTCAGCAACAGCGTACTTCCCACTCAGAAGACAAGAATTTGCAGTCAGACATCCAAAGGTGAAGGATCTTTTCAGTGAAAAGCTCCTGGGATTCAAAGCTTGGTTACAAGGTGATGAATCAAAACCTCCAAAAAGAGGTTTCTAATGCCCGGAGAATTCCTAATTAGGAATTCCTTCCTAATGGAAGACTTGGACCATTCACCCTGTAACTGTGGAGCCTGAACAGGGCTCGGGAAATAATTATTGCAAAAACCTGCTCCATCTGGCACAGCCTGCCTCAGTAGATGACCACGTTGAAGAAATATCCAGAAAACTGGGGATGGGCAAAGTGCTCAGAAGACATTTGCAGTGAGGGAAGCTCAAGACAGAAGCATAGCTAATACCCTACAATATCCACGAGTCACTCCCATGAACTGCACTGTGATTCCTCCTCACAACTTCTGTTGCAGTCATGTATGCCCAAGGACAACTGTGCTGGATCGGAAAGCAGTCATTCAGGTGGCCTAGCTCATCCAATTTTGTGAGCTGACAGTCACATTGCCACACACCTGTGTGACCACAGGAATGTCAGAATTTCTCAAAGCCATGGCCAAACTAAGACATTCACGTGGCTGAAATGACTGGAGGTCACCTGAGGCTGCTCAGGGCTGCTATCTGAACAGCAGCAGATAACATCTGGCAGCCTGAGCACCTCGCCAGCATGAGAGAGGGCAATGAGAAGCACTTTGATCACAGCTGGCTGCAGCTGGAAACTGCAAGAGCCAACAAGGTTGGGTTTTTTAATTCCTTATAAGAAAAAAAAAGCATGACATATGGAAAAAGCCTGAAAAATAATTGTATGTAGTTAGCTTTGTCTCTCACTCAGCAAAAAAGGAATTGTGTTTCTAAGTGCAATTTCAATGGTCATTTGAAGATAAGTTGAAATGCTTTTAATTACTGTGGGAATCATAGAATGCACAACTATGAGTGCTGCCAAATGGGGCTTAAGCTGTTTCGTGAGTGCCACTAGCTTAAATGACCATGAATTGGGAATTTCAGAGACCACATAATTTGGGTTTTGTTTGTTTGTTATATTTTTGTATTTTCAGTTGATTGGTTGATTGGCTGGTTTTGTATTTAAGGCATAATTCCAGTAAGACAGATGCAGTTTTGGCGGATAATCCGTTAGCATAACAGAGTATAATTTCAGGAAATTACAATAATGTAGTCAAACAAGTTATAAACACACTCCCTAGGAAGCTCCCAGATTACAGCTCCAGAGCTTACAGTGGTGACTGTAAAGGCTGATGCTTTGCAACTGCTATGCATCTGTATATGTTCACAGAGGTTAAGGGATAAGCCTACTAGGCTGAACAACAATGCTGATGTGCACCTTTGGGGATTCTCTGTGTGCATCCAAGTGCATAAAGCATGCAAGCAGCACAAGAGAAAAGAGCTCACACCTGTCCCCTGAAAGGAAGAGCATTTCTAACACTCTTAAGAAACTGATTTGCAACTGGCATTTATGAATCGTATTTGTTCATTCTCCCCATCCCTTCCACTCCTTGCAATTTGTTTTTCTAATAATAATAAAAATTCAAAACAGACTGCTTGGTATAACTAAGTATACAATGGCAAAAAAATACTCTACTTTGCTTTTGATGTGGGATGGAGCTAGGAGAAGCTTGGGGTAGTGTTTGCAGGTTAGCAGCAAGCAGCTGTGACAGGGCTGCTCCTGGCACACTCCACCAGCCCCAGAAGGGTGCTCCTCGCCATTTTCTAGTGTGCTGTGTTGCAACATGAAGTGGCTGTGTCACTAACCAAACTGCTGCACGCTCCAGTTGGGATCTAAATCCAGGAACTGCAGTAGGTGAATTGGAACGTGGACTTGACCCAAAGAGAGCAGGCATAAAGAAAGAAATGAAAGCCTCAAACAGCACTGGTTTGAGGTGAAGTCATTTGGAGAAGAGTGGGAATGTGGATCCTGAGTTACAAAGGTCCGCAGACTGCTGGGCACATGTGGCTCTGGGTACTTGTTTCTGTGGTCTTAGGATCCTGCAAGGCGCTGGGTAAAGATGAGAGGCCTCCACTTCTCTGGCACAGCCTAGTGAGACATGCTGCCAGCAATCTCTGGGCCAGCTCATTCTGGATATGAGATTTCTTCATTAACGAACCAGCAAAAGCAGTGTTCCTTCATGCATATCACCTCATCCCCCTGAGCCTGCCCTGCCCCAGCCCCAGCTCTCACGAAAAGCTCACTCCAAATTCACCTGCCTCTGCTTTGTGAAATCCAGTGGTTAAAGCCGCACACAAAGCACTGCAGGGACGCAGGATACCGGTGTGCCCCCATGACAAAACGCCGTGGTGCACCGTGGTGCTCCCTTGGGCACGGCTCGGCCCTGGCGGCCCCCCGGACGGGCTGAGAGCGAAGGGGGAAAGCGGCCCCGTCCCTATCGTCCCTTCTCGGGCCAGCCCTGCCAGCTCGCTTCCCACATCACCGCCGGGACGCCGCGTCCCCGCCGCCGGGGGGAGCGGCGGGGGGCCGCGCCGTTCCCCGCGCCCCACCTGGCCGGGGCAGGGCTGCCGGCTCCTTGCTGGGGGCTCCGCGGTGCCATCGAGCGCCCGGCGGGGTCCCGGGGGCCGCCAGGACGCCACCTCGCAGCGATCTCCGACGGCGCGGCGCCGCCAAGGTGACCCCCTAGAGCAGACCCCGCGCCCTCGGCCGCCCACGCCCGGCCGCGGACACTTGAGAGTTTAAAGAGGCTTTTCTTCGCCGGGAGCGGCCCAGGGGGGAAGGGGAAGGGGAAGGGAAGGAGGGGTGGGCGGGGAGAGGCTGGCAGGGCAGGAGCCGGGCGGGGTGCTGGCTCCAACTGGAAAGGAACCAGTCCCAGCCCAGCCGGGGAGCTGCGAGCGAGCCGGCAGCGCCGGGGAGAGCGAGCCCTGGGCCCTGATCCCGGCCCGCCGCCTCCCGCCCCGACGGCGCGGGACGGCCCCGCTATGGGCACGGCGCCCCGCGTCAGTCCCGCGGGGGTCGGCGGCTGCGGGAGGGCTGCGGGCTCGGGTGGGAAGCGGGGAGTGGCTGTCACCTGTCGGGCCCTGGTGGGATGAGGGAGGAGGGGGTGGGAGCACCGGCTTTCCGGAGCTGTGATCCTGTTGGAAGCCCACCTCGCTCTTAATTTGTGTTTCAGGGTGGGTCTGTGAAGGCAGGGAAGATGCCAGAAAGGGAGAAGACGACGCAGTGCAAGCAGGAAGCGGAGCAGCAGCAGAAGGAAGATGAGAAGGAGGGCCTCATCGAATTCTATGGTTCCTACCAGGAGCTGTTCCAGTTCTTCTGTAGCAACACGACCATCCATGGAGCTATCCGCCTGGTGTGCTCTAAAAAGAACAAGATGAAGACAGCCTTCTGGTCTGTCCTCTTCTTTCTCACCTTCGGCTTAATGTACTGGCAGTTTGGAATCCTCTACAGGGAGTACTTCAGCTACCCTGTCAACCTCAACCTCAACCTCAACTCAGACAGGCTGACTTTCCCTGCAGTGACGCTGTGCACGCTCAACCCATACAGGTAAGAAATGGTCTCCCAGAACTTTCAGCTGCCTTGACCTCCATGGGCATAGGATACAGGCATGTATTCGTGTTCTTTTCTTGGTCCTCGACTTATAGAAGGGCAGGTGGAAGGGAAGCTTCTTGCGAGCCTTTGTTGCCACAGGGCATTCGCACTAAATTGTGTTTTACTGTTCTACCTGGTGGTGGGCTGCTCTGAAAACTTTCCCAAGGCAGAAGCAGTTGCACTTCCTTATCTCCCACAAGGAACAATGGCCTCCAGCAAAGGGGCTTGATTTTCAGCTGTCAGTGGGAATATCCTGAATCACCCCATTAAACTCTGCCACATATCTTATTCAGAACTGTTCATGTGCATCCAGCCCTAACCCTGCAGGCTCCTCTTTCCCACTGTATAGGTACAGTGCCATTCGAAAGAAGCTGGACGAACTGGACCAAATCACCCATCAGACACTGTTGGACCTTTATGACTATAACATGTCCTTGGCACGAAGTGACGGGTCAGCGCAATTCTCACGAAGGCGCACCTCGAGGAGCCTGCTCCATCATGTTCAGCGCCATCCTCTGCGGAGGCAGAAGCGGGATAACTTGGTCAGCTTGCCAGAAAACAGTCCCTCAGTGGACAAGAACGACTGGAAAATTGGCTTTGTTCTGGTGAGATCCCAAGATGTGTACTGAGCTACCCACTCCGACCCCTGTCTAGCCACTTCTGCCTTTTTAGCCTTGTGGCCATGCCCTTCCTCATATAGAGGGATTTTTGGTGCTGGCTTTTCTTGATGACAGATGATGTGGAGTTGAAGCCTTTTCCCAACATATTACTGGTCCCCAACTCCCGTCCTTATTTATGTGCAAGACTTGTCCATGTCAGTGTCCGTCTGTTCCTAGGTGAGACAGAGAAACCTTGTTCTTCCTGAAGGCTACATCAGTCTTCCAGAGCTATTTACTAACAGCCACAGCATTGCTCTGTAATTGTTGAGGGGATGGTATTGCATGGCCGTGGGCCATGCAGAATGTGATCATGGCTATATTTGCTCCTGGGCAGTATCTTCTTTGCCCTAGGGTATCTGTATTTGCATTTTAAAAGGCACTGAAGGGAGTCATTAGCCAGTTAAATGGAGTTCCACGGGGTCACCAAGTTTCTCTGGACACACCCTGAAGGGAGGGCTCCCCATGCTAGAGTTTAAAGCTTCTAGTTTTATATCACGTAGGTTTTATATACAGTGGATCGCACTGCACAACACACTGCAATTTGCTGTTTACAGTCTCACTCACCCATGCCTGCTGACCTGGTGTTTCGCTTCCACTGAGGGATTACTTTTTCCCGTGCTATTGATTGCCTTTTTCTTGAGCACAGCAGTGCTGCAGAGCATTTTTGCTCACTCTGCTTTGTTTCTGTACCTTGATAAGGGAGCACAGCCACCTCCTCTGGGACGAGACTTCCCTGATACAGCTGCTTTCTCATTCTCACAGTGCAGTGAAAACAATGAGGATTGTTTCCATCAGACGTACTCCTCAGGAGTGGATGCAGTGCGGGAATGGTACAGCTTTCACTACATCAATATCCTGGCACAGGTGCCTGATGCGAAAGACCTGGATGAGTCTGACTTTGAGAATTTTATTTATGCTTGCCGCTTCAACGAAGCAACGTGTGACAAGGCGTAAGTGGTGGAAACACCCCACTGTTTATTCCTACTGACACCTGCATTTTGTGCCTGGGTTCAAGGAGAATTCATGTTAGAGAACTTCTTTCCCAAAGTGGGGCTGTTCTTTGTTCAGGTCCCATTTTCTCAAGCAGTATCTCAAGTTTTTCCTGAGTATTGTGCTTACCAGGGTCAGACTTTCTGTGACCTGAAGCTATGGACCTCAGAGGATGGTTTCTCCTTCCCCTGAATTTCACAGAAATGAAATAATTACACTGCTACAAACCCCAAGTGTACAACATAGAAGGCTGGTGTGCATGCTGAGGGTGGTGTGCAGTGCTGAAGTCATACGTATCAGACCGATAAGGGAAGAGGAGAAGAGAAGGACAGTGAAAACAGCATTGCACTTCCCTCCTGCCGTTATGGTTTAGAAGCCCTAAAGAGACGATGAAATTAAACCCATCAGCAAGGCAAGGGGTACAGAGATCTAAGAGCTTTGTCAATATTAAGATAATACAGTAATTGCTGATGCTGCTAAAAAAACCCATCCTGGCTATCAAATGCTAGCAATACAAGAAAATGTATAAAAACCCGTCTAGCTCTAGGACATTTTTTACAGCAGATTTTAATTGCTTTTCCCTGTTCAGGTTAGTTTACATAACAAACACTGCCCATCTGCTCTAAGTCCCTCTCTGTGCAGGTGGAAAAGAGAACTGTTCCTTTCAGGAAGTTCTTGGTCTCACAGCTCTTCTCACCTGTGTGAATATTTCTGTTCCCATCACAGGAATTACACCCACTTCCACCATCCCTTGTATGGGAACTGCTACACCTTCAATGACAACAGCAGCAGCCTGTGGACATCCTCTCTGCCTGGGATCAATAATGGTGAGAGGCACTTTCGGCTTAGCTGTTTTCCCCAGGGAGGGTGTCTGAAAGACTGGAGGAGTTACAGGCAGCCAGTGGTGGTGGTAGATTGCAGCTCTGCTCTGTCTCATCCCAACTCTGCTTTGACTCATGTGGAGGTGTCTGTGTCATGGACATGGCTGTCCTTCACTGCTGTCCTACTGAACTCTCTTTCCCATCAGTGCCTGACCCTTACGTTCACTGCTCCCTCTGGACTTTCACTGTCTGCTCCTGAAGTCTCTGTTGAGCTCTAGTGCTGTCCTCCTGACAGTTTAGTCTTGGCTTCCTCCTTCGGCACTTACAGTTTTGAGCAGCTGGTTTAACCTTTCTGAAGCCCCTCTAGGGCCAATCTTCTGTTCAATTCCAATTCTCTCCGTGAAATCTCTCTCCATTCCCAGATCTGCCTTTTCTAAGTAGCAATTAAGAAATCCAGTTTTCTCCAGCCTCTCCTGGAGCCTTCAGCCTCCAGCCTTCTCTCTGTTCTCCCTTCAGCCACACTCCCATTCCCACTCAGCTTAGGTTCAGCCCCAGCCGACATTTCTCTCCCTTTACTTCTTAGTGATCCAGATGTAACTACTCTGCTCTCTGTCCTTCCCTACATGATGGCCACCCGTGACATCCCTTGTTCTCTGGCATGTCCTCAGGCCTCTCTCTGGTGGTGCGCACCGAGCAGAATGATTTCATCCCTCTGTTATCAACAGTAACTGGAGCCAGAGTCATGGTCCACGATCAAAACGAGCCAGCCTTCATGGATGATGGGGGTTTCAATGTGCGTCCAGGTATTGAGACCTCCATCAGCATGAGGAAGGTGAGGCAGATGCAGCAGGGTTAAGAGCTGTGGATGTGGGACTTCAGTGTGAAAGGTGTAACTTGGTGGATAGATACAGATGGTTTGGGACTGAAGGTGTTAAAGGGAGGGGATTAATCATCTGGAATGAAGGGGGGTGGGGAGGGGAGGGCAGGAAGACCAGCAATTTACCAGACTGGATGAGAATTCATAAGAGAGTTGCAATTCATAAGAGAATAATGAAACAGGTAAGCAGGGGGAGCTGGCATCCAGTGGTAAGCATAAGGAGCAGGTAGTGATGAAAGCAGTGGGTCAGTGGGTGGCACAGAAGTGTAGAGATGGGATAACAAAGTGCTAGTTGTTTTGTGAAACGACTTTGATGTTCTAGGAGATGACTGAGCGCCTTGGGGGCAGTTACAGCGACTGTACAGAGGATGGCAGTGATGTGCCAGTGCAAAATTTGTACTCATCTCGCTACACTGAACAGGTAACCTGTGATCACTGATTCCATGCCAGCTCCTTTCCCAGCTTTCCAGGAGTGCTTCAGTCCCCTAATAGTTGTGCTTGTCCATGGGCAATGTTAATATGATAATGTGATACAGGGCATAAAAGCTTTGGTTCCCCTGTTCAAATATTTCCATATCATGTGTTCGCAGGTCTGCATTCGTTCCTGCTTTCAGCTCAACATGGTAGAGCGCTGCTCCTGTGCCTATTACTTTTATCCCTTACCTGATGGAGCAGAGTATTGTGACTACACAAAGCACATAGCTTGGGGTAAGTACTTACAGGAGAGGATTTATATGATAAATATTACAAAATAAACCTCATGCCCATCTGAACCTGTTTTGCCCACCTCATGTCCCAGTAACTCTTAACTGTTTTAAATGAGGCTTTCTGATATGGGACAGCCAAAAGACACTCTTCTCTTCGATAGTTAGTTCCTCTGAATGTGTGAAAGGAACTCTTTGGATTCCCTCTGCTGTTGCACATTACTTTCTTTCCATATAGATACTGTGAGCTTATCTGGATTTATTTTCTCTGCTGCTTAGGCTACTGCTATTACAAACTCCTTGCTGAATTCAAAGCTGATGTGCTGGGCTGCTTCCACAAATGTCGGAAACCTTGCAAGTAAGTCTGTAAGTTACACTGGGAACTCTCTATTCCTAGAGATGTTGGAAAGCATTCACTGACCAGGACAAAATCTTGAGCCACTAGCTGAAGTGCAGACCTAAATGATTTCTCCCATCAGGAAGATAAAATGGCTGAGGAGAATCAGTGTCGGCTCCGGGGTGAGCTCCTGAAGATTGTGCAGAAGCTCAATGGGAAGTGGGCACAACTTCAACATGGGAGGGAGTTTCCAGGTGTGCCTGGGGACTGAGACCGAGCTTCATGGCTCTGACCACTTCAGCAGCTAACACACTCTCTTGTCTTACAGAATGACAGAATACCAGCTCTCTGCTGGATACTCTCGCTGGCCTTCTGCTGTCTCAGAGGTAAGAGGGTAGCGTCCTGGCTTCACAGCACTGCTCTGAACTCTGATTTAATCCTCCCCCTCAACTGGTTCCAAATCTACAAGAGATGACTGCAGTCACATAATTTATTGCACTTTCATTTCAGGATTGGGTTTTTTACATGCTTTCACAACAGAACAAATACAATATAACATCCAAGAGGTGAGAGACCATTTACAGAGATTTTATCAAAACCAGAAGTAATCCAAGTGGAAAAAGGGTGAATGGAGTGGTTCAAAGTTCAGATTAAATCAGTGATGGTGACTTGAGGCAAGGGCAGTGGATTTGAGTCAGCAGAGAGAAACCGTGACTTCAACAAAGACTGGGTATCCAAGTGAAGACTTACAGGGTTAGCTGCTAGTCTGAAAAGAGTAACTCAAAGGCTCCTGCCATATGGTTCAGAGTCACCGTAAAGGCTAGTGAAAGAGTGGGAAGGGAGAGCAATGCAGGAGTTGCCACTTACCAACTTATGACACAAATGCTGGAGTTCACAGTGCAGTCTCAGAAGTGCACAATTGGTCCCTCAGATTTTCATAAAAACTGAGGGAACTCTGGAAATGGAGAAAAGATACTAGGTGGTATATGTGTAAGGAGCACAGGAAGTGGAAGGAGACAGAGAAGATGGCTAAGCTTAGTGAAGAAATGCAAGGACTACAGATTTAGCATTGCTCATACTCATTTTTCGTTAACAGGAATGGAGTTGCAAAAGTGAATATCTTTTTTGAGGAATGGAACTACAAGACCAATGGGGAGTCACCAGCATTCACAGTACGTACTTTACCACATCCACCCATTACACCACAACGTCCGTCTGCATGGCAGGTGTTCATTCCAGCAGCACTGCTGACTCTCAAGTCTCTTCCTGTGGAAGATGTGGAAAAACTCCCCAGTGCCATGATAGTACTAGCAATGGGAGCAAACAGAGAAGCAAAAGGCTCCAACAAATGCTCTCATCACTCCCTATTTCTTTCTCTTGCAGGTAGTGACTCTCTTGTCCCAACTTGGGAATCAGTGGAGTCTCTGGTTTGGATCCTCTGTCCTATCTGTGATGGAGCTTGCAGAGCTGATTCTGGATTTCATTGTCATCACTTTCATCCTGGCCTTCCGCCGGTTCCGCTCCAAGCGGTGGCACACCTCTGCAAGGCCCCCTCCAAATAGTCACGATAACACTGCCTTCCAAGATGAGGCATCAGGACTTGGTGCTCCACACCGCTTCACTGTTGAGGCTGTAGTGACCACACTGCCATCTTACAACAGCCTGGAACCACGCGGACCAAGCATGGATGGTGAAACAGGACATGAGTGAGGCAGAGATCTATTTCATAATTCAGTTAGATGACAGTTGGACCAGAAGCTGTATACTTTCTCTGTGGGACCTACTTTTCATTCTTTTTGGGATGCTCTGCCTCGATCATAGCAGAAGACTGTACTGTGGTTAATTGCTTTTATTATATGTGAATCCTTCAGTCTTGTAAAACACTGTTGCTCCTGGGATCACCAGGGATGAGAGTCACATGGTGTTTGCAAAGGGGAGATGTCAACTCAGCTTCCTTATAGTCTTTACATGTGCATTCATTTTTTTTCCTCTGCAAAAAAGATGCTGCAACAGCTCTCATCTGTTATTAATTAAAGAGGTTTGGCAGGTGCAACTGGCCTTCTCTGTAGTATGACAAGGGACCAAAATGGAGTCTCAGCACAGATGTAAGTCTCTCAGCAGGCTGAGCCTTAAACATCCCCTGAGGCTGGAAACCGGTTGCTCTTCCCTACTTCTTAACAGCCAGCTCTGATCTCTAGACCAAGCTGCACACCCTCTCTTCTCCCAGAGGAGAGGCTGCTGGCAATCTCAATCCATGTGATTCACAATAGTCTAGGGAGGTTGCTGAAGCGTGCAACTGTTCTCAGAGCAGGACAGAAAGGAGCCCATAGCACACTGGTAGAGCTTCACTGTGTAACAGTCTCCTTCCCTGTGATACACCATACATACGTACATTCAGCCGTTTGTTTGCCAGAGGGTTCAGGATGAACTGAACTCAGCCTAGAGTGGGCCCTCATATTCTGCTAAGGATTATAAAACTGCTGCAGACTTTAATGTAAGATGTTTCAGGGAAAGCTTTGACCTGATCAAAAGATAATAGATGGTTACCTCTAGAAGAGGACCCTCTCCTCAGTTTAAAGAACAATTTGGAGATCTCAGCGTACACTTTATCTTTTGCAGAAAGCTTGCCTTTTTTTCTTTATACAAAAAAAGAAGTCTGCTGCATCTGTTGGCAACGGTGTTTACACAGCACTTTACATGATGCCAAAGAAAGCAAGGGTGATGTCCTCAACAGACAGGAAAATCCACTTCACTGGACACAGATACCAGAATTAAAATATCTAGTTTAGGCAGATCCATGTACATAATCGTACTGCAAACAGCCTCCTCTTTTGAACTCAGAAAGTAGTCAATCAACAAACAAAAACTTAGAATACTTTAAAAATTTAAGGTAGGTGCCCCACACTTGGAGATCTGCAGAACTTTACAAGTATGTATTGTTACCTAATTCTCCCATTTGATACGTTAAACATGCCTGTTGCACTACTGTTGCCTTGATTACCTAAGTGCACTTTCCACTTCCTAGCAGAGTGATTTTATTCCTCACAGGCATGAACACTAAACTCAAATCTTAGTTTTTCCAACTTTGTCCCAGTGCTGTGCTGATCCTTTCTGTCTAAGGGAAGAAATACTGTTTTTCTACTGGGAATAGAAGCAAGCAATTAGCAGGGTGAGGTGAAAGGGCATTAGCTGTCATTGGCATCCTTGTTCTTCAGACTGGCAGGAGAGAGAGCCCTGCAACCATGGGTACTTAGAGGCATGGGTACTGAGAAGCCTTCATTGTAAACAAACAAACCAAACAGACTTCTACAAGCGTTTAAAAGAAAAACACTAAAACACCCACCCTAAAGTTGACCAAATATAGGAATTTTTATTTTCTGCAAAAACATGCTGGCTAAGAAGCAAAGTTAAGAGCTAGAACTAGTGACTAAAACAAACAAAACTTTATTGACAATTAAAGCAGTCTTGAATGATCTAAAGCAAAAAGAAGTTAGAATGCTGCATCCGCAGCCCAGATCCTGATCGTAAATTCAGTATTACTGATTGTTGCTTCAGGAAGTCACTGGTACATGAATGAGCAGAAGTGTGACACTGAGCACTGCCAGTCATTTTACAAAGTCACCTCCACATCAAGAAAAGACAGATTGGAAGTAAAAAGTGCAAAACATAAAGCAGTCTCAACCAAGCCTGATCTTTCTAGAATATATAAAAACTAAAGCATGAATCCTCACATGATACAGTTCCTTGTGACAACCATAACATTGATGCAACCCACTGCATCACACATAATTTAGTAATTAAATAAAGATCAGAGGCAATAGCTACTTGAAAGATATTTAACGCCTCTTCAGATATAGAAGAAAGTGATAATTCCTGGAGGAATCTTGCACCACATTATCTCTTCTGCAGAAGTGGTGAAATTTAAAACATGAGCTTTGACTGACGAACTCAAAGTAATGGCTATAAATCCAGAACTAAAGGCCTGTACAAACATGAAGTTGCTATACAGGTCGGCAACTGGATTAGCTGTACCTGCCCAAAGGATTAGTGCAAAAACTGCCATTGTGTGAGAGATCAGGCCATCCTCACAAGAAAATCCCTATGCTTGCTGTGAGCAGACAATGCCATAAATTATCAGCTCAACAGACGCACAGTGAATTTGGTCTGGCTGATGAGAGGTGAGGCCAGTAGTGCTGGAATGAGTGCAGGAAATTGAGTGTTTCACTGAGTATATGAAATACTAAAGAAAAGGGAAGAACACACGCATTCAGAGATATTCACTGGACAACAAGGGAAAAGTCTTCAACTTTCAGCTATGTATTTGTACAAAGGATAAATTTATTAGTTACATTAACAGTACAGTGCAATTACTTAAAAGACATGGAAAACACACAAGGAACAACTGCTGGTCATAGGACACTGAAGAAAGGGAAGTGATCTTTTTGGACTGGGAACACATCATCCTAGGAAAACCACAGACATAGGGAAAAATGCCTAAAGGGGAAGGAAGGTGCGGAAGAAGAAATTATTTTGTGGACAAGTTGGAGCATGAAGTAAGAATGCTGCTGAAATATAAGGAAGAAAGATCTGAGCTCTTGGGATGTGGAAGAACCAGCTGAGACAGGGTATAAAGGGCCCAAATGTCTGTGGTAGTAGCAAAAATTTGCAAGCTGATAGAATTAAAAGCATTTGGACATCATGCTATGGAAGAAAAGGAATATAGTCTAAGAAATTTAAGGACACTAATTATTTTGGTGGTTCCAGTCAAATGAAAGGACCTGAAAAGCACTAAGATGAGAGTGCACTAAGATGATAGTGAAGTAGGACCAGGAAAATTGAAAGTGATATGAGAAGGAGAGGTTGAACAGTTCAAACCTCTAGCAAAAAGGGTTTGAGAATGTGAGGGTGTAGAGATGATGCAAGACAATACCAGGGAACAACAAAATGAGAGGAGTCCCATACACAGGTGCAAAAATTCACAGGAGCATTCAGAGCACCCAAAGAGACTTGAATGAAGAGAGTAGCTGGAGTGATGATATAAGCCAGGAAACTATGAACACGTGTGACAGGAAAGGCAGGGGCAAAAAGAAGGAAGACAGCAACATCTGGGGCAGGAAAGAGTTGCTGGGAAATTTTCAACACAAGTTCTTGTGTCTGGACAAAGGGAAGTTTAAAGAAAGGACAGCTGACCAGTTTTGGAGTGTGAGCACAAGTCTCCAGGTTTGGCTAGGGACTTTGAGACGATGTCATCAATGGAATGGAGTCTTCATATGTTCTGAGAATAAAAATCCTTCCTGCCCACAGCAAAAATGGGACAGAACTAATTGCTTGGTTGTGCAGGCCTGATCTGTACTGACATTTGGACGGTATGTGCTACTTTAACTCACTGGCCAGACCAGAATCCCTACTCTTCCAGGAGTGCTTTCATTTTTGAGATAGCCTAGCAGCACTGCTTCAGTTTCACCAATGGACATACATTGTTCTGATCAGTCTGCAATAAAGTTGAGCCTGGACAAAGATTGCAATCAAAATGTTTTGATCCACAAGCTGCAGAGAGGATTGTTTACAACTTCAAAATTGTAATAGCAAGTGCAGATAAATGCACAGGTGTCTCATTTTAAAGCAAGTTCTGCCCATTTCTTCTTAATGAGTTTCAAGTGTACAAGTGAAGCAAAACTGGGGGGGTACTTACCTTAATTCCAGCTATTCTCCAATCTATCCTGTGAGTATCATCCTACTTCAGGAGATCTTCATTCAGATCCTGAGTACAGCCCAAAAGCCATCCCAACCCCAGTGAAAAATAATGGTCCAAATTTAAGGACCTGGATGTAGGTCACTGAAACCCAAAGGCAACACAGCCTGAGAAGTTAGAGCTACCAGCAACACATCCATTTGGGGAATCACCTCCCTGTGGATTACACCACAGCTGGACATGGTGGCTGGAAGTAGAATTGGCTTGAGGAGCCTCTAGTCTGCATGCCTTGTTACAGACTTACCACCGAGTCAGCCATACATACAGTTCCAGTACCACTGACAACCAGCACCATGGCAACAGGAGACTGCTCCTTACTTTAAGGGATAGAACTTTCATTATGCATATGGTACTGAAGTGACGATAAAAACAGTGTGTTTAGAAATGTGTTAAAAGCAGTCTGTGATCCCAGCCCTTCCCACCCACTAACAGACCAGACAGACTCAGTAAGGTGATGAACTGTGTTTCTTTGAGACTGTTTAAAGTACATGAGTCGATTACTACAACATGCCAGAGATTACAGTTGTGTTTATAGAGGAAGGAAATAAATTGCACGTGCGTAATTGGCTGTAATGCTGCATACAGCAGAGTCCCTTGCTCTTACTCAGAGGGCCTTGGTAAATTTTTTGCCCATGCATAGAGACACAAAGGAGGGGAAAGGTAGCAGAAGAGACAGCAACATACAACATCCAAGAGAAAAAAAATGGAAGAGACAGCCTAAGGGGACCTTAGTCCCCAGAGGAATAGGAGGAATGGGGCACCAACGGCTTTGTTTTGAAAAGTTCAAGAGAATTGCTGGTCTGGGGGCCTCAAGCTTGTATGCCCACCCCCTAGAATGATAGCCGTAAGTAGTACAAAGCAGACCCTGGCTCCTCTTCAGCAGATGCACTTCTGACCGTCCATCACATCTCAGTTCCACAGGGAATTAGGGAAGTGCTCAGGGGACGAGGGCTGCTTCACTGCAGATCTTCAACTCTGCCCTCACCCAAGGTGGAGAGGGATGGAATTGCAGGGAGATGAACTCAGCGCAAATGAAATGCTGGGGCATGGAAGTGAGCGTGCAAAACCTAGCCCCTTCCCAGACAATCTGTGAGGAGGAAAGGGGCTTCTCCAGCATACTCAGTGCAACAAAATGCATCTGCCCCTCCCATCTTTTGTACTTCCACCCCAGAATGCCAGTGATGTTTTCCCCTACGTCCTCCTAAGCCTAGACAGAACTCTGTGCCTGAGGTAGAGCTTCCTCAACTAAAGAGCTGTCCTCTTTACAGTCCAGATTATGGGCTACAGCTCAGCTTGTAAAAAAAAAAAAAATACACTCCTCAAAAAACTGCAGAAACTGTGGAACAGGACAGCTCATTTAACCTCTGGTTTGACAACATATTTGAGCAATTCACAGCTCCTGCTCTTTCTGAAAGCATAGGAGATTGCTTACAGAAAACCATGGCATTCCACACTGTAAGTTTATTTACAGCAGAGACCACTCCAAATCTAAGCTCAAGAGAACCCATAGCAAGTAGGAAGATTTCAGTTTTATCTAGAGATCTATGCTGCCAAACTGGGGCAACTAATGTCACTTTGCAATATCCATGCCAGAGCAGCATTTCCCTTTGAATTCCTAACTCCTGCTAAAAGTTAGGGCTTTCATGGTCGGAGAAGCAGAACAGGTATTCTTAAAAACCTGTGTGACTCAGTCTAATGTGAAGAACATCCAATTTCCTTCACCTTCATCTACTATGTAGTGGACTTCCTTTGCCATTCAACATGGTAACACTGGAAAGCAAACTCCATTCTCTTTTCTGCTACTAACTCCAACATCTTCCAGAAAGATGCAAGACTGTAGAAAGCTGTAAGGTCCTGGCTTGTGTCTGCATAGATGAAAGGAATATTTGATGCACGTACACCCACCACACTCCTTGCGCTGTTGGCAATTTATTCCTTCTGGCAGTAGATTTTATGCCCACACAGACCCTTTAGACAGCGATAAAACTCCTTTCAATCAACATAAATTTGTTGCACTTCACTAAGGTAATCACGTCGGCTCCCTTTTATTACAACTGAAATGTCCACATTCAAAGAGCAAGTCAACTTATTATAACAGGCAGAATAAATCACTTCCTTGAGTGCTCATCCCTGCATGATTAGAGAAATCTAGATGACTGTCTAGCTCAGTCAGATGGATCATAGTCACTGACCAGCATAAACTAGCCTTTATTTCATCAATTAAAAGCATACATCATGTTGCCACTCTTTATGCAGAGCACAAGCATCTCACATGATGAAGTCCTGCATCCCCAAAGGCACTACATTAAGGCATTCTTTATTTGCTAGAGTTCACACAGGCACTAACTGAACAAGCTTACACCCCAAAATAAGCCACAAATTCCCTGCAGAAGAGCAAGATAATAGCCACCCACTCCTCTTCTGCTTCCTATTCCTCTCAGCTCAGATGACCCTCTCTTAAGCTGCAGCTGTTGGGAAGTCTAACCCATGATCAGTAGAGCACTTCATAATCTTAGAAAAGACAACAAATCAGAACCAATAAAGTAATCAATGAAGAAGCTAGGTGGAAGGGAAGATTCAGAGGCAAGAAGAGACAGGCAAGGTGACAGGGGATAGCAGGTTGCAGACTGAATGGGCTACATTCAAGTAAAAAAGTAGACTGGACACAAAGCAAGAGGGAAAAAAAAGGAAAGAACAGAAGGGCAAGTTACACCAAAGGTCCCCCAGAGACCTCCAAATCCCCCACGAGGAAACAGACTTGCAAACCCACCCACTTCAAGGTACCTACCCCTCATATTTACAGTTTTATTTGACCTGGTAATAAAGCTGTCTCATTTCTACATTGATGACCACCCCCACTTCCTTTCCTTGCTCTATAGAGCATACTATTTCCACAGTAACTGTGGGAGTTCCAACACTATCACTTCCCTTTTCCAAGGAAAGAAGTTACCACTTATGCAAACAAAACCCTCCAGATCATAAACCCAAAAAACCAAAAGTTTTAAAAGTACTCTGGAGTTAGGGCTTCTTCACCTGTGATCCTGGGCTTTTCAGTACTTACTTACAATCACCACCACCACAATGGCACAAATCACTCCCATCATGATCATCATCTAGAAAGAGAGATTGTCAGATTGTAATACTCAGAACAGATTGGCAAGTTCACACCTTCCATGACAACCAGGGAACATAAGGCAGATGCTGAAGGCAGGACAGCTGAGGCCTCAAAGACTTCCCACAGTGAAATAATCCTAAGCATTTGAAATAGTTATAATGGTTATTATGTCCCAACTATCCTCAGAAAGCCCTGAAGAAAACTAATTAAATTTCCTCTAATGAAAGAAATCATAACACTAGGAAACTCACCTTACAGTTCTTCCACCAGTACTTCCTTTTGAGTTTTGCTGCACTACTTTCAAATACTGAGGCACCAGCCTGAAGCGCATCTGCCCGGTCATCAAGCTCTGAAAGTTTCTGGTCTCGTTCCAGTACCTTGTCAACATTTACTCGCATAATATCAACCACCTGCAGAACGAAAAACAGTAGCAGCAGTCGTAGTGGTAAACAGAATTGCAAGTGTAAGAGCAGTAACACAGCCAAAAAGTAAGGCTGAGATACCACTAACAAGTAGAGGTTTGAAACAAAGAATAAAGATGAGGGTTAAAAAAAAAACAAAACAAAACAGGTCATCACCTACTTAGCAATGGGGAAAGATCCGAGCACACTGCTAAGGTATCATTTCAAGTATAATTAAACTACATTTGCAGCACACTGCTCTCACTTGTTTTTGAAAGTTCTCATCATGAAGATTATAGCAACCCCCTCCACAACAGCGATCACATGCTCAGTGGAAGATAACTGCAAAGACAACTTAGAGCTACGTGTTGCTGCCCCAACGAGGCATAAAGGAGTTACTGCATGTCAGCAGCCACCAACTCTGAAGTCAGGTAAGGTTCACATTTTACATTGAACTCGCACTCCGCCTGTTCTTATAGCAGGGATTAAGTGTTGTTCTGGATCCTGTAGAGGTTTATTTCTATGACAGACACGTCATATGAAGCACAAGAAGTCTAGCAGTTCTGCTCTTTAGATGTCATAACCAAAATTATGCAGCTCTTAAATATAAAGCCATTTCATCTCAGCTCCAGCCCGTTTACAAATTAGACACTGTGCTTGCATCAATTATTAGTGCCTTTCCAGTATCCATATTCCAAAAGCATCCACCTCTTCAGCAACATAAACTTATCACGAGCATCACTGCAGCAGAGCGGCACAAGCGCCCGTACAGCCTAAGGGAAGCAGCACAGCTACTGACCTCCTCCACCTGGGCCTGCGTCTGCTGCAGCCGACGGTTACTGCTCAGATTGGGGGGCGGCCCCGGGGGACCCCCGGCAGGGGCACCCCCTTCAGGGGCCCCAGGAGCGGGCTGCTGAGCTGGTTCAGACCTGCGGGAACGCACAAGGGCAGAGAGAAAATAACATCAGACCCCCAGCTGCCAAAGGACAGACGCCCACCCCGAGCTGAAGGTGAGAGCAAGCAGCGGCCCCCGGGCCCGCAGCCTCCCTCAGCTGCCCCCGGAGCGGCCGCAGGCAGCTTGCGGGTCTGGCCGTGCTGGCATCGCGCCCTGCCAGCTCCCGAGAAGGGACGGAGGTGACCGGGAGGCGGCCCGCAGCGTGCCGCAGGCGTCGGAGAGGGACGACGGGACCGGGCCCCAGCAGCAGGGAGCCGTGAAGGGGGCTGCAACGAAGGGACGGGCCCCGCGCAACCTCTGGCGCTGCGGGCGGGCAGCGGGAGCGCCCCGGCCGAGGGGTGGCGGTGCGCGCAGCCCGGCCCGCGGTTGCTGCAATGCGCCACTCCCCGTGCCGCCGCCGGGCAGGCCGCCGGCCCCGCTCTCGCTCAACCGCCCGCCCGCCGTCCCAACCCGCACGGCCTCCCGCACGGCCGCCCCATCTCCGGCCACTTCCCGCCGCCGCCGCCACTTCCCGCCCCACGGACACTCACATCCCCCGGCCGGCACTCAGACAAAACACCGCGCACCGCGCCGACAGAAGCGCCCGCACGCCACCTGCAGCCTCACTTATAGCGGCTGAGGCCCCGCCCACACGGCCGGCAGCCAGTCAGAAGTAAACACAGGAAGGTCTCGCCGAGACCAGCGAATCAGCACCGCTCCGTCTTACTCCGAAGCCAATCAGCGCGCCTCGGCTCGGCCGCAGCGAGGCGTCTGTGAAGAAAGCCGCTTCCCTAAGTCCCGCCTCTCGCTGTCCCCGGGCTCCCCGGGAATAAGCCCCGGCCCCCGTTGGCACCGCCCGATCGGAGCAGGGCTCAGCGCCGCGACAGTCCGCTGCGCGCGGGTGCTGCAGCAATCCGGGTATGGTGCTGCTGGCGTGCTGCCGCCGTGGAGGAAAACCTGAATGAGGCCCCGCAAGCGGCTGCGTTCAAGCCTTGGCTGCCAGCTGAGGGAAATGAGGCTCTGGCAGTAGCCCCGAGAACGGCTCTGAGTTTGGCTTTTTCCTCTAGAGATTTTGGAAAACCTACCGGATGAGAAGGGAGCGTTCTTCCATTTGATTGCAAAACGGAAAGCAGAAATATTCTAGGACGAGAAGTTTCCATGCAGCATTTTGTGCAGTGGCAAGCAATCAGGTCAGACCTACGTTGAACTACGTTTCTTTAAAGGTGAAGCAGGACGTTGTTTGGTTTTTCATGATAGACTTGATGATTAGTAGATACACGAGGCAGCACGTTGCATGTTACAGCCTCAGGGCCAAGAGCATGTGGCTACAAGGAATACAGAAAGTTAAAGCTGGTGTGGACTCCCAAATGTCAAAGGAGAATGCAGCTCAGCGTGGCAGAACCATGGGAATAACAGAAGGTGAAACTTGCTCAACTACTGGTTTGGTTCTCCTAGTGCACATTCCCTTGAGGCCCACAGAGCTGAGGCTCCTCAGTTTCTGATGTATTTTCAGCTACAAATTTGTTGCACCTCTTCCAGGTGCTTGCTTGGTCTCCACTCCAATCTTTTGGCCATAGTCCAAGATGGTTCACAAGCTGGGTGTGAGAAGCATCAGACACAAGGTCTGTCCTCCCCTCAGATTTCGAACCATGACTTGTTCTGACAGCGTAACTCACCAATCTGATGGGCAGCTGCAGTCTGTGTGGGTTAGCCATAATGACCACAGCTTCGCTGCCTTGTTAAATTTGTCATTTATTTCCTGTGGGAGTGATAATCCACCTCATACCGCTTTCTCAAGTGAAGCACTGCATATTAGAACAAAGTACATACTGTTTTATGAACCGGGCTTCCTTCAAAACTGACTCACAGGTCTGCAACCCTGCTCCTGAGAATGTGGAATTTGCAGTTGCTTGAATAGAGAATTTGGGTTCACCTTCCTGAGGTGCAGACCCAAAGTTCTTTTCATTCCCTGCTGCTTTCAAACAAGTGCTTTTAAAGATAGAGCAATTCTACTCTGTAACAGGATACGTTGTCAGCAGGTAACCTCTCCAACTACCTAGCAGTCAAGTTATTATTTAGGCAGATGCATGCTCATCTTGGAGATTTTGTGCTAATTCTTCTGCAGCATATAACAGTAAACTGTATGAGAAAAAAGATGCTGGAGTTGAGGGATCCCAACTTTGACTCACTATGGCTTCTTCTCTCAATGGTCTAGAAGAAGTTATGGAATATGAGAAGCTGGGAGTTTAACAAACCAGTTAAGTGCCTAAATTAACAAAAAGACACTTGCTTGTTAAGTGTCACTAGTTTGGGATTTGTTGTGCTTTAATCCAGCAGGTGGCTAACCAACACATAGACATTTGCTCAGTCTCCCCCTTCCCAGAAAGACGTGGGAGAGAATCAGAAGAAAAAAAAAACAAAAAACCAAAAAAGGTAGAACTTGTGGGTTAAGATAAAACTACTTACTAGGATAAGAAAATAGTTATGACTACATACATATATAAACATATATATGATATATATATATATATTCATTATACATGCATATAATGAATGATGCACAAGCAATTGCTCACCACCCCCTAACTGATGCCAAAGTAGCACCCTGAGTAATGGAAAAGAGTGAGATGAACTCTGACCCCCTTATTCTGCATGATGTCATACAGTATGGAGTATCCCTATGGCCAGTTTAAGTCAGGTGTCCTAGTTCTGTTTCCTTCCAGCTCCTTGGGCCTTTCCCTGAGAACAGCCTTGGCTCTCTACAACACTGCTTAACAGCAATTATAAACGTTGGTGTGTTATCAACATTGTTTTCTCCTAGACTCAAAGACAGCATCACACCAGACACTCTGAAGAAAATAATTCTGTCCCAGCTGAAATTAAGACAGAGTTAAGTCATTATCATTATGAAATAGAGACACATCCTGCTCTAAAAACACATTTTGATGTACTTCAGCTAATGTTTGTTTCATTTAAACTTGATAGCAATCACAGATATGCAGAGGTCAGGGGGCACGCAGTGAGCACTGAGAGGTATTATTGAGAGACATGCTCATCATTAACTTGGTAATTCGGCTTACAAGGAGAAATCTAAGATGACATGTACTGAAATTGCTGAGTAGGACACTGAAAACTTGGAGCTAATAAAGACTGAAAGGAAGCTAGAAGCCTGGCCAAAAACTGGAAGACTCTCAGATAATAGCTAAGAGGTGCAGGTTGGCACTGTGAGAAGTACGTCAGACGTGACTAAGGCGACTGAACTTCCAAAGAGCTCAGGCCTGGCACAGCAGTAGGACCTTGGGGCTGGGCCAGAAACACGCAGCAGAAGTTGCAGAAGACACTAGGAACAAAGCCACAAGAAAGATGGCTTTATTCCGACTGTGACACCGCAAAACCCCACGCCAGACCCACAGTCTCTCCTAGCGGTGCTTCCCAGTGCGGTTGAAGCGCTTGTACAAGAACCGGATCCTCTTTTTGAGGTTGTGGTAATCATCCAGGAACATCCGATCTCCCACCATCTGCTTCTTGCGAATGCACCGCTGCAGCTCATTCCCCCGCCAGCCTCGCAGCCACCTGGGCCCCACGATGAGGTGCTTCGGGTGGATCTGGAAACCGCCTGAGAATAAAAGGGTAAAGGCTGAAGGCAGAACCCGGGAAAGGTCCCGATCGCTCCCCCGGCGCCGTCCCCTCCCGCCCAGAGCCCGCAGCCGGCAGGGGGACACCTCACCCAGGATCCCCACGTTGTCGTAGACCCCGAACAAGGCCCGTTTCTCCGTCCACCGATCCACCTTCCGAGGCTTCGGGGGCTCCCTAACACGAAAGTTGCGGGGCAGCCCGGCCAGCGGGGAGGTGATGGGCAGAGGGCGGCAGGACTCGGGGCGCTGCCCCCCACCGCTGACGCTCCGCACCGCCTGGGGCAGGGCCGCGGCCCGCAGCACCAGACCCCGCACCAGCGCCGCCATCTTGGCGGCGACCCGGATGAAGCGGAAGGAGGCGGGCTGTGCCGCGCTAACGGTCGCTGAGGGAAGGGAACCGACGATTGGTCGAGGCCCTGCAGGGCCGCGCCGCTGATAGGCCGGGAGAGGAAATCGGGTGGGGCGAGAGTGATCCGCGCGCGCTGTTTCGAGCGCCTGTGGCGGCGGCGCCGTGTGGGGTTATGGCCGCGGCGTCGTGCGAGTTCCAGTTGCCTCTCGCCGCTGACGATCTGCTGCGGGGCGACAGCTCGCGTCACTATGTCGTGCAGGAGGTACTGTCAGTCCGCGAGCTGCCGCCCGCCATCGCAGGTAAGGCCCGAGCCCTTCCCCTACTGGGCTAGGCCCTACAAGGCCCGGCCGGCCTAAGCCCGGGCAAAGCGGGCGCCGTCACACCCGGCCTCGCCGGCGGTTGCAGCTGGCCCCGCACCGCCCCTCGCTCACGCTCTCCTGGTCTCTCCGTAGCCTTCCGGGCTGCGTTCCGGGGCCGGGGTGCGTTGGCTGTGCTGCAGCATTTCGACAGCGTTTACAGCCTGCTGCGGTAAGTAGGGACCTGGAGGCTGGAGGGGGCCGGGAGCTGCCGCCTCTTTTCTGTGGCGTTTGCTTGCTGCTACGATAAGCTGTGCTTGCCCCACAGCCACTTCCGAGCCCTGGGTACCGCTGCCAAGGAAGATGCCCTGGAGCTGATGATGCAAGGTGGGTGTTTGCTATCTCCAGGCAAAACTGGAGTCACAGGGAGGTTGCTCCGAGGCAGCAGTTTGATGATGATATAAAGGCTAATGTGACTCAACCAGCAGGGTTGCTCCTTCAGCCCATTCCAGTATACGGGTCTGTAATCTTGGTGGACAATGCAGAGCTGTGCGTGTTCGCTGTAAGGGCAGGCCGACAGAAAAGCCCCTTCCCTGTGTCCCTGGGAAACAAATCCTTGGGATGTGTCAGCTCTGAGCAAGTGCTTCTAGAACTGACTGGTGACTGGGGAACAGGATGGGAAAGTGCCTCTGAGGTTTTGGTTGTAGGAGGCAGCCCATGTTACAGCTGGTGAGATATGAGCACACATCTTTGGTAATCTGATGACTGCTCTAAGACTCCAATGGAGAGGATGGCTGAGGAATCTGGCCAAGAACGTTCATCTTTTTCTATCTTTCTCCAGTGGTGACCCGTCATTCCAATGAGCTTTCTACCATCTTGAGTGATTCTGGGCTGAGCCATACAGACCGAGATGCTCACCTCAATGCTCTTAAGATGAACTGCTATTTGCTGTCTGGCCTGTTGGAAGCCTTTGAAATGGAAGCCTTCAAGAGTGGTTTGGCGGAGGTGGATCCTGCTGGAAAGGTAGGTGAGAGAACTGGGGAGAAAATGAGATGAGAAATGTAGAAAGTCTGTAAATTTGCTGAACTCTGTGTCAAAGAGTATAGTTCGGTTTGCTTAAGAATGATGCTGGGAAAAGCAGTGCCTAATGTGGTGTTCTGTGAAATCCTTTCTGAAAGACATCCAGATGTGTGTCTAACTATCAGTAGAGATTAAAATGCCCGTTTTGGTCCTTAAGTGGCTGTCGGTATTTTCTCGAGTTCCATTTTGTGCTCAAATAACAGTGGTCATTTGATGTGGGCATATAAATTTCTCTGGTATCCCATCTAATGGTATCCCTCTCGATGCTTTAGAGTTTAACAGCCATTTTCATTTCAAGTGAAATGGGATGGTGATGGTGTTTGTTTTTTTTTTTTTCTTCCCTGTGTTCAGGATATGGATGAACTGCATTGCATAACTTTCTTTTCAGAACAAGAAGAGCCGCACCAAGGTCTCTGGATTCTCATGGGAAGATGAGAGGGAACCGCTTTTACAGCTGCTCACACAGTTGCTGCAGCTGGATCTCCGTCAACTTTGGAGTGGTTTGGTGGTGGAAGAAGAGTTTGTCAGGTAAGACAGCCCTTAGAAATAGTGTCAGTGTAGGCTGGGAAGAAGGAGTTAAATTGTAAATCTGCAAGTGAGATGGTATTACAGCCCTCTGTAGGGTACATATGGTTGGATGCTGAGTAAGCTGAAGTGAGCTGTTGAAGAACCACTTCTTTTTCTCATGTAAAATTCAGATGTTTTTTGCACAATTTCTTAAGGATACTGGATAATCTACCTGGTTCAAGAGAAAGATGTACCTAGTGCATATTTACTGCAGTTTGCCAGAATAGTATCAGTGCAAACTGCAGTAGTGAAGTTGTCTGTCTCTTCTCTATGGTTTTAGCTTACTGACAGGATGCTGTTATCGTATACTGGAGAATTCAAATATTGGTCTTCAGAGGTATCGGGCCACACGAGAAGCAGCAACGCATCTGCTTGCTACAGCTTTGACTCACTATGATCACATGTTCAGTGAGTCCATGCTTTTCTCTTTTTCTGGAAGCTGTTCCTAGGTAGTTTCCTTAAGTTCTTTTTCTTCCTTTTCTTGTCAAAAGGTGCTACTCTGAAGATCGCACAGATGCTGCAACACTTTGAACATGTAGCCCCAGTGTTTGTTCAGGCTGTGACTCTCTGGGCTAAAGAATATGGACTGAAAAGCATAGTAGGTGAACTGCTGAGGTGAGAAAAATACCCCAATATGTATTCTTCTACCCCTACAAACCTGAGAAGCCCTTTTCCTTATTTTATTTTTCTGTGCAGAGAAATTGGACAGAAATGTCCACAAGAGCTGGCTCGTGATACTTCAGGAATCAAGGGTTATGCTGTCTTCATAACTGAACTGGCTGAACAAATTCCTGCACTGGTGCTATCCAATATGAGTGTTCTACTGCGTCACTTGGATGGTGAGGTATGTTTGCAAAATATTACCTGTCCAGAAAAGACAAACAGTAGAAGTACTGCTATCTGGTTTTTCTTTTTGAGAACAGAACGTCTTTCACAGAGATCAAGTAGCCAGAACCTGCTATGTGGTACACATCATGCCCTACCCTAAAACATGCAGAGAAACATGACACCTACTTTCTAGCTGTTGCTTCCAGGCATCGGAGAACCAGAGGGATCTGACTGCTGTTGGATCAGTCTGCTGTCCTTTATTCTTCAGTACCAAGTTACTTCAATGGTTTTCATCATGTTACTTTTTAGTAAAGTGCCCTTAAAAACCTTGTGTTTTGATATTAGTCCTTGCTTTTATATCGGACCTAGCTGGATCAGAGGGCTGGATTGCTCAATCTTGCAGGCACAGCCACGTTCAGCCAAGGTTGATACAAACTCTGGAATAGAGAAATTCAGTTAAGGCTTGAGCTTGAGAGTTAGAAGGCCCAGATTCTGGCCTGTCCTTCCCCCTTGGAATACCAAGTTGTGTTTTATTCTCTGTTCCTGGTTCACCAACTCATCTTTTTGCAGAATTATATGATGCGAAATGCCATTTTGTCAGCTATGGCAGAAGTGCTGCTACAGGTACTGAATGGTGACCAGCTGGAAGAAGCTGCTCGTGGTACTCGGGACCATTTCCTAAATACGCTGCAAGCCCACATTTGTGATGTCAATGGATTTGTGCGTAGTCGGGTGCTGCAACTTTTCACTCGAATTGTTCAAGGCAAGGTAAATGTGTTGGGAAAACGGCTCTCCCTTCGTCTCCCCCTCATCTGTTTTCTAAGGGAATTTCTGTCACTGATCTTTGTTTGCAGAGACTGAAATGGAACTGAGAAAGGCATTGTCTTTGAGTGTTAAAGTATCTATCATTCTTTTCTCCTGAGAGACGAAAGATCCTAAGATTAATGCAACCAGGGAACAGAAATTGCATGATTTTCAATCTTACCAGTACTGATTAGAAGGAAGAGCTCATTGCGCAAGCTCTTTCTGGACGTTACTATGGGAAAACATCTCCTCAGAAATATTAAGACTCTTCTCAATAGTCTCCTTGGTAACTTCTTGTAAGTCCTCACTTTCAACAGATCTTGACTAGAATATGTATGGAGGTCGCTGCTGACTTAGATTTTTCTAGGAATTTATAATCTGTGCCTTCTCATATGCAAGCCACAAGTAGAAGAGCATGTGTGTATATTAATTTGTCTGCAGGAAAACAAATTGTCAGGAATTTCTAGAGCTTCCTAATAACTTTGTTTATGCTTTCATTGTGTACTAGGTCCTGCCTTTGACTCAGTTCCTGTCTGTCGTATCCCTGGCTGTCGGGCGTCTCAAAGACAAATCTGTGGTGGTAGTTAAAAATGCCATCCAGCTCCTGGCTGCATTTTTGTCCAATAATCCCTATTCTTGCAAGGTAATTCCAATTAACATGGTGGATATGCTAGAAGTGTGTTTGCAGGCTGAGTATATGCAGTATGGTGTGGGCAAGGCAGTGGTCTTTCCATGTTGGCCTTTCAACGAGACGCAAGTTTTGACTTCAAATGGGAATTTTCTCTTGTTCAGATCTCACGTTCTCTGGGTCTTCACTCACTGTAATTGGTAGGTGTGCGGGGTCAAGATGGTTCTGGTCTTGATAGTGGAAAAACCTTCAGTAGTTTTATATGAATTCACTGTGGGATTTCTTATATCAGAATTAGGCTTTAGAACATTCTATGCAGAGCTGCAGTCTTTATGTTCACCTGTACCTCCTCTTGAGTTTCTGAGCCTCAGCCTGGCATTTTACAGCGTCTAGGATGGTGGCCACAGTTTGCTACTTCAGTTTCCAAAATCAGAGTTTTCTGAGATGATTGATAACACTAAGGAAATAGAGAAAGGAGAATTCTAGAAAAACTGGATAAGGAACATACTACTTCTTTTCTTCTTGGCATTTTCAGTTGAGCTGTAGTGACTTGGCTGAGCCGCTCAAGAAAGAAGTGCAGAAGCTGCAAGAAATGAGGGACCGTTGCAGAGAAGCAGGTAATTTCTTTCTCTTTTCCATTCTCAGGGTGTAACTTGTACTCTGTCCAGTAGGAATTTCACTCTGGGCTTATTTTTCCTCATCTTACACTTTCTCCCAAGTTTTGGTGGCTTTTATCTCAGATCTTACTCATGTGAGGTAGTAAGGTCAGATAACTGGGGAATAAACTCACAAAAGTCTTCATACCATGATGTAGTAAAAGGACCATATGAATGTCCATACTTAGGTCAACAGTGTTATTCTCAGGGCAAGAACTGAACATAAGTACGAGCATCCTCTCAGGCTTCCATTGTCAGCCATTCAAGGACAGCTTCTGCCAGGAGTTTGGTCAGATATGAATTTCAACTTGATTAGCCTTGAACTTTCTGCTATCTAGAGACCAATAAATAGCAAATGATGGTTCTCTGTCTTTTTTTTTTTTTTTTTAATTCCAAGAGTTCTTACCTACTCATATTCTAGATTAGATGGAATCAGCAATGGGGATAGTGACTGCCTGAGGAAAAAAGCCTAGGATTCCTAACTTCCAGATGAGTTTCTTTTCCCACTTAAGCTATCATTTGAATCTTCTCCATTCCTCATTCTGTCTGTCATTTCTTTGTAGCTCCAACAATCACCCCAGAAGAAGAGTGGGAAGCAATGCTACCAGAAGTTAGGACTGCTGCAAGGCAGATACTTCAACCACTGCAGGAAGAGGAAGATGAGGAGATGCTGGAAGTTGAAGAAACAGCAGAGGGTACATCAGTGCAAATCACTGGGATGCTGAGGAAGCTGAATTACAAGTAAGAAGGCTCTGAAATCTCTCGTTCTCTATTCAAGGAAGGTTTGAGCTTCAGAGTAAATGCATGACTTTCAGTAACTACTCTATGGGAAGGCATTGACATGGGTACCTGGTACAATGTGCTGGCAGGAACACTTGGCTTTCCTGGGAGTTCTGGGCAAAGTTGGATGGTTTCCCTTATATTCTGCACTAATGGGTTGCTGGTGTTCTGTTGGGTTCTGTCACTGACCAGGAGTGCAGTTCGCCTCACGCAGAAAGCGCTGTGCCGGTTCCATGGGCAAGAACCCTTCACTAGCTCCAAGGAGGAAAATGAGGAGACAACAATCCTGGGCATTCTGAAGAGACTTTACACAGGTAACTACAGCAGATTGGTCTGTCTCTTCCCTGCATTTAAACTGTTGCTAGATTTAGACCAAAACTGTCCAGAAAGCTGCGTCTTTTCTTTCAAACTGTGGGCCTCAGTA